CTAATCATTTTACTATAAGTAAGTAGTATTAGTCATTTTACTATATAAAAATGTATTGCTGTTATTTTTGCTATAAAAATGTATTTTTATATTTTCATGGTGTTTGAGAGTTCTCTATTTGACCATTGCTGGAGCCCTAACTGGTGTTACCACCTAGGATCAGGGTGGACCTGGAAACAACAGCAATTCGTAAGTGGTTCCACACTGAAAACTCCCAATCTCCCGATCAGAGACCCCGCTGCCGGATATACTTTATCGTCATACCTAGGACTATGTACTGTATTTATATGATGCAAGCGGAAGAAATGCATAGAATAATCAGCTGATTTTTTAAATTTGTTTATTACGTTAACTGTTCTGTAGACTAAAGTATTGTATAAACTTTTATGAATAAATTAGAAATTTTATGGAGCAAAATTGACATTAAAGCTGACCGGAGTTGGTTTATAAAGACCTATTACAGTATGCTTGAATTTGCGGTTAGATTGAGCTTCGGATTTAACGACCAGTTCGTTTAGTGACCAGAACAGAAAGCTGTCGTTAAGTGAGGTGTAACTGTATAAATAAATATACTATCAGGCCATCCCATAAGTTCTGTTCGAATTTTGAATAAAGAAAACAAGTGACCAAATGTTACATTTAATTACAGATTCAATCAACAATGTATTTTCCCTGATTATCTATGACTTCCTCCCATCTATTAACAAGCTTACTAATTCCATTACTGTAAAATTATTTTGGCTTTGATTCGAAGAACTCACAAATGTCAGTTTTAACCTCTTCCTGTGTTACAAAAGCTGTTTCTTCCAAATGATTCTGTAAGCTACAAAACAAATGGTAGTCTGAAGGAGCAAGAACGGGAGAATAAGGTGGATGAGGAATTTTCTCCCAACCAAGTTCTTCGATCTTTTGTGACGTGATTCTTGCTGTGTGGGGTCGTGCATTGTCATGATGAAACATCACCGCTTTTCGATTCACTAAAGCAGGTCTTTTTTTCCTCAAAGCTTGGTGCAAATGCTCTAATTGCTGACAGTATATTTGAGCATTAATTGTTGCATTAGGTGGTAAGAATTTAAAGTGGATTATTCCTTGGCAATCCCACCAGATTGAAAGAAGAACCTTTTGCCCATGAAGTTCCCTCCCCGGCTGTGGCTGGGGTCTTTCCCCTTTACATAGCCACTGTCTACAACGCTTAACATTTCGATAAAAGATCCATTTTTTGTTGCCAGTCACAAGTCTATCCAAAAAAGGTGAAACAAGTTGGCAAGAATGGAGAGAAGAGCAGATGTCAACTCGGAATTTGAGGTTGTTTTCAGACAATTCATGAGGCACCCATTTTCCAAGTTTAGGAACTTTTCCAAGTTGTTGAAGATGACGATGAACATTTGTATGGGTTGAACTGAGAACCACTGCCAATTCCTCAACTGATAAAGTAGGATTTTCTTCAAGGGCTGCTTCAAGAAGTTTTTCATCAAATTCAACTGGACGTCAGGTTCAATCTTCATCTTCAAGGGTGAAATCTCCACCTCTGAATTTTGCAAACCATCTTCTGCAAGTTCTTTCATTCACACATTCCTCTCCATAAACTGAGTGAATGTTTCTAGCCGCTTCAGCTGCTGAGTTTCCTTTCTTGAACTCATAGAGCATTATGTGCCTCAAATGATTCTTGGGTACTTCCATGTTAGCAGGGTTTTAATCAAACAAAATTTAATTTTATTGTTCTCTGAAATAAAATTTGATCAGTTTAAATGCAACTAAACATAAAGATAATGTTCAGCTCCATTAGACATTATAAAATACTCTTTAAATTTCGTTCATTTTAACAAAATGTTAAAATTCGGACAGAACTTATGGGATGACCTGATATATAAATAAACATGTTATATAAATAAAAGCCGGAATATTTCGTTTTTCTTACTGGATTTTTTTACTTCCAAGCATGAATTGGGTATTTACTAGATTTTTTTTGTTTTATTTTGTTTTTTTAAATGCCATCAAGATCGTAGGGGACTATGGCGCTAACGTCAAGATATTTTGTCTAAATAAAAGATTGGTTGAAAAATCAAATTTCTCATATTACAGCTTATCAACCCTTTGCATGTTATTTAAAATGTCCATGTACTTTTAAGGATTCACGTATTTCTTGGATGTTTTTCTTATAATTGGCATGAAGAAGGTCCAAGTCGAAACAAAATGTGATTCATTTGTTTTTTACGCCTTATCAGCATTTTTCAGGTTATTTAAAGCCAGAAAATAGTTTTAAATTGCAAGATTTTCTTTTTTGGTGGGGGGAGATGATTTAGGATTCTTACTAATTAACCCATAGGGAGGGGGAGAAGAAGTACAATCATACCATATGAAGAGTATTTGCGCGTGAGTGAACATAACAAAACCAAGAGGAATTGGAACCCGGCACTCCGATTAACAATTCCTAGCCATTATCCATTACACCACCCGCACATCCAAGCTTAGATCACTTCGTATTCCCAATCATGTATTCCCCAGTACTGAAACTCGCAATCCTGAGTTACTCGCTTCTAAACATGACGCTCGAAATCTCCACGGCCACGAACCTGACGCTCACATAGAGGACGGGTTCGTATGTGGCAGAGACTCCAAAAACCGAGGAGGCTGATTTACCCTTCATGTGCTTTCACGTGGGCCTTGTTCATTGTAACTCCTTTTTCTTCACTTTCTATCGTATGCAGAATGACGGGACCGCAATGTTCGACAAAATAGTTGAGAAGATTGATAATATCCTCTCTGGGGATCCCTCAGCTAGAATTCCTCTTTGTGACGATTTTGATATTCACCACAAAGACTTTCAGTCGCCTACGAACTGATTCTAATCGTTAACGCCCTTGGGCACTTCAGACGTTTCACTGGCAAATTTTACAGTTGATGTCAAACGAAAGACATTCCTTGATGTGCCGTTCCATAGGACTATTTTTCCGCACACCAAAGCTGACTGGGATAGCTTCATATCTTACAAGGCTTAAGCTCTTCTCTCGGCATTCTTCAAATATAGAACCGCCAGAACTGACTTTCTTGTATCTGAATGCACCACCTCTGGTATAGAAAGTTTTATATCCGAGAAAAATATCAGTAAAAAACGAATAACCAGAACCTAGCTTAGTGTAGCATGTGCTGCAGCCATAACTCATTACTAAAATATGTATCACAGAGAAGAATGATGTACTATGATCCTTTCTAAATTTGTTGCATAGCCCTCTGGTAAGGGTTGGTCTTGAGGGCAACGGTATTGATTCACTTATAACGTTGTCTGCTTTCTTGGCCGCTGATCGCCAGTTGTTTTATTCGGAGATAAATGAGAACTTCAATAAAGGAATTTCAACTTAACTATTATTTTATTAACCATGTCGACGGGTACATCTAATTAGGCAGTGGGGTTGCCATCCCACACCACTGGGAAGCAATTTCCGTCCTAACGCCAAGATATTTTGTCTAACTAAAAGATTGGTTGAAAAATCAATATTCTTATTTTACAGCTTATCAACCCTGTTATTTAAAATGTCTATGTACTTTTAAGGATTCACGTATTTCTTGAATGTTTTTCTTATAATAACACGTCTACATTCTTTGATGTGTAGGTTCTGACTCTAAAATTCCTCTCTCTAACATTCCCACGCTACTATTTACATTATTCGGACTATTTTCCTCATCTTTGTCGCCATATTTATAACAACGTTACTGCCGTTGTACGCTCCGGCCTTCTCCAGGTGGTTGGAATATCAAACTGAACACTTTATTTCGCTCTCTGGGGTAGACTGTTCTAGTTCCACTTGCCATATCTAATGGATGTCAATTATCAGTTATCTCCTGTTAATTTCCCTCTGAAAGTTCTCCAATGCCTTAACCGGGTATTGAACTCACACATGGCACAGTGGATAAAGGCGTTAGTTAGATCAAGTGACAGGACCCAAATGTGCGCGATATGGTGACCGGTTTTGATAAAAACAGCACATAAACTAAACTAATATGCACAGACGACTTCTGATTGAGGGTGTTCCCAAGTATTTCGATGTGACTCCCAAGTCGTCTTAGCTGTCTCATTAAATTATAAAATGGAAAATACACCTGGACATGATGCTTCTCCACTTCACCTGTACAGGAACAGGGATGCATAGTGCGTCTGTTTTCTAGTTCCACCTGCCATGTTTAATGAATGTCAGTTATCAGTTATATCATGTTAATTCCCCTATTCACGATCACCGCTAGGACACATGGCACAATGGGTAAAAGCGTTAGTTAGATCCAGTGACAGGACCTAAGGAGTGTGAGTTCGATACCCGGTTAAGGCAGTAGAGTTAAAAGCAAGGATTATTTTTTGTTACTATTTATGAATTGCCATACATTCTTGGTAAATATAATGGTATATTTCCTTGTTGTCTTCGCCATGTTTTAGAATTCAGTTTCCTGGTTGACAGTCAAGTTTGCGTAACACAACGCATTTATATAATCTATTGATGGGATGGGGAGAGAAGGGAATCTGAGAGAAAGTGAACGAAGTTGGTGAGGCTGCAATTGTCCGCACATCCGTTTACTAGTACTTAATTTTCTTTTTCTATTGACCGCGCTCTCCGTATGAACGCATGTCAATATAGGCAGAAAACAAGAAACGTGTAATAAAGGAGGAGGTATATTTTAAAAGGCTGCTTAGAGATTTTTGCAGAAAATGGACGACAATAATTTCAGTGACGATGAATTAAAAAGAGGTCATCTGTGTCCTAAATTAGCGGTCGGATCATATTCTACTTTATTGTTATAGGAAACATGTTTTTTGTATATATATATATATATATATATATATATATATATATATATAACTAAAGGTTTATACATATTTATTATCACCAGCCTGTTTGTATTTATCTATCTCAGTTTGTATATAGCAAATTAAAACTTTCTTCATCTTTCTGTCTGTCTGTCTGTCTCAGATTGTACATGTCTAATTCAATCTATCATTATTATCTCAGTTTATGCATAATTATTTAAACCAGTCAGTCTATCTATCTATCTATCTATCTATCTATCTATCTCAGCTTGTAGATACATAATTCAATGTGTCTCTATTTCATTATTTTATACATAATTATTCAAACCATTCCAGCTGTCTGTCTGCATCTATCTATCTATCCATCTATCTATCTATCTCTATATATATATATATATATATATATATATATATATATATATATATATATATATATATATATCTAAGCTTCTAGATATATAATTCAATGTGTCTCTTTGTCACTATTTATCTTTGTTTATACAGAATTATTTAAACCGGTCTTTCTGTCTGTGTGTCTCTATTTATTTTTCTATCTATGTTGCCTGTCTAACACGACTTATACATATAAAATTCATTGTCATAATTTACTTCAGTTTATGCCTAATTTAATTCACTTCGTTTTTTTTTATCTGAGTTTATATAAGTTTAATACTTAATTTCATTTGTTACTATAAATACTTTATTTCTTGATACTAAGCTCTTCAGTTATGAGACATCCTGTTTTAAAAGCGTTATCCTTGAGTAAGGTCGACTTATTCTTTTTTGCGAAACACAATAATTGTTTCATACACACACGCGCACACACACACACACATATATACATATATATATATATATATATATATATATATATATATATATATATATATATCACTGTGCAAGTTATTTTAGTGTATATTCTGAGTAGACGGTCTGTTTTTTTTTTATTAAACAGTTTATTTATTTATTTTCGTCGACCGACCTGAATATTCAAGACATTTTATTAAACAAAAATATGCGTTGTTTAATAAAACTTCTCTAACCGATAGACGAAAATAAAATTTATTGTTTAATAAATAAACAGGGCGTCTACTCAAATATGAGTATCCACTAAAATTATCGGATTAATACATAAAATTAATTGTTTAGAAGGTATATATATATATATATATATATATATATATATATATATCATCCATATATAGGCTGTTTCGCTGTATCACAGCTCAAATATTTAAGTAAATGCTCTGTTTATAATAAACAGTATTAATGACATTTACCGGCCTGAATGTCCGAGAAAAACAGTAAAACCTACCTTGCTTAGTAAATGTTTATAATAAATGTTTATAATGCATCAGAGGACGAATATAAGATTGTAGTTTAAAAGCAGTAAAATCGACCTTGCTAATCGAAACGATCCTCCGTGGCTCGACCGGTTAAGGCACGTCAGGCTATATGACGGTTCCGTATAGGATACAGGTTCGGTTCCTGTCGGAGGACGAATATTTTCTATGAAAATTTATCGGACATTCAGGCCGGTAAATATTATTAATACTGTTTATTATAAAAACAGAGCATTTACTTAAATATTTCTATCTATAAAAAAATGTATAAACATAAAAATGTCTTAAAATTAAGTATAACAGCATAAACCTTATGTTTATGGAGCAAGCAAGGTGTTGAATTTTAAAGGAGTTTCAATTGGGGCACAATGTTGTTGAAGCAAGACGAAACATCAATTTAATACTTGGCGAAAACAGTTCGCTTCAGTGATTAAAATATTCAAAATATGTCACGTAGAAGCAACATAAAATAGAGGAGAGAAAAACCTGTAGAAGATGTGCGTGGAACAGCAAATTTGATAGTTACATGCTAGCGTAATATACGTAAGTTGTGCCCCATTCACTGATATTCTGTCGCAGTGGCTCGGAGTATAAAAGATATCACTATTTGTTTGATTTATTCGGGCGAGCAATAGAAAAAGATTCTTATTTCAAATTATATGAACCTAATAGAGACAAGTTTTCTTTTTCAGAACATCTCGGTCGAACAGTACCAAATCTTATTTTTTCCCTAAACACCATGGTTCAACAGGGATAAGTCTTATCTTTCCCAAGCATATTAATCGAATACGGGCAAGTCTTATTTTTGCAAAAACATCTGTCGAACAGTAACAAACCAGATTTTACCTAAAACACTTTGTTTTATTAAGTAAAGTCTTATCGTTCCTAAACATCCTGTTCGAATATTTTTCCCAAAACATCTCAGTCGAACAGTAACAAGCCTTATTTTACCCCAAACACTTTGGTTTAATGGGTTAAGTCTTATCATTCCTAAACTTCCTGTTCGAATATTCTTTTCCAAAACATCTCGGCCGAATAAGAAGGTTTATTTTTCCCCATGCACCTTGCTTGAATAGGGGTAAGCATTATTTTCTCCAAACATCTTGTTCGAATTAATAAAAGTTATTTTTTTCCAAAACATCTTGGCTGAATAGGGAAAACGCTTTTTTCTCTATGCATCTGTGTGCAACAGGAACAACGCATTTCTTTTCCAAAAGATTTTAGCTGAATAGAACAAGGTTTTCTTTCTAAAACATTTTGATCGAACAACGATAATGCTTTTCTTCATCAAATCATTTTAGTCAAACGAGGGCAACGTTTCTCTTTTCCAAAAATCTCTTATTCGTTATATGACTTACTTTTTCCAAAATATTTTCGTAGAATAAGAATAAGGCTCACTTTATTCAAATATTCTTGTTCGAATAGGGATAAGGCTTCTTTTTTTTCAAATCATCTGGGTCGAAGAGAGACAAAGCTTTTTTTCCAGGGTCGAATATGGACAGCTTTTTTCAAATTGTCTTAATCGAACAGGGACAATATTTTCTCGATTGAGCAGGGCCAAGATTCTTTTTCGAATCGTCTGGGTTGAAGAGGAACAATACATATTTTTTCATATTATCTAGGTTGAACTGAACAAGACCTTTTTTCAATTATTTTTGGTCGAACAGGAAAACACTTTCTTGTTTTTTTTTGTTTTTTTTTCAAATTGTCTTTGTCGAAGAGTGGCATAGCTTACAGATTTAACATCATCGGAGTCGAAAATGAAAAAGCCTTTAAAAAAAAGCAACAAGGATAAATTTCACTTTCTTTTTCAATTCATTTGGTTCGAGCCAGGACAAGACATTTTTTTAAATCGTCTGTGTCAAACAGAGACAAGGTTTTTTTTTATCATATCATATAAGTTGAAAGGAGTAAGGAAAGGAATTAGCCTTGGTCAAACAGAAAAAAAAACCCTTTTTTTTTTGCAAACCAAAGAGGGACAAGATTTCCGTTTTTAATATTATGTAAATGAAACGGGGTAAGAATTTCAATTAATAGTACGGCTGGGTTGAACAGGGATATGGCTTATTTATTTGGGTTGATTGAAGACAAGATATATTTTCCCAAATCGTTTGGATCGAACAGGGACAAGGCTTTCTCATTAAAGATCTGATCGCTTTGAACTGTGTTGATTATCTCCCCCTTACTACACCAGTTTGAAAATCCTGGACGCAGGATCTGGACGTGAATACTCTATAGAAACTTTCCTCTCTACGTTATCCATTGGTCTAAACATATTGCTGAATCTATTATGCTTTTACTTCTGGTCATTTCGACAGTTTACTTTGAAATCGAAAGGGCACTGGTGCTGAATTAACATAATTTAAGAAAAATATGAAGTTTTTAATTATTTCACTCCAAGCAAGGCAGTAAAGCCACTAAGACGCAAGGGATTACTAAATGTATGGGGAAAAAAAACTATTAAGGAGAGAGAACAATAAAAGAACAGGAATTAAGAAATAAGAAGACGATTGGCATTGTATTTAATTTTTTAAAGATCAAACTTGACTGGGAAGTAAGAAGCTGAAAGAGAGTTCCACAAGCGAGAAGTGCGAGAGAAGAAACTGTTAACAGAACTTACGTTTACATCTAGCCGTTACAACTGTAAAATGCTGAGACCTAATTGCCAATCTAGTACTGCGCTTAAATTCATCAAGTCTACGTACCATATAGGGAAGTTCATAAGAACAATCTCCTTTGTTCATGAATAGAAACATCGTTTCAATTTTAAAATTTGCTGCTACACTGATTTTGCCATTTGCCGCTTTGCCTTGGTTGGTCAGCTGGTTGGTTGATCACAGCTAAGGTAAGCAGAGAATTACATTTGCCGAAGCTAATAAGGGACTAGCTTATTTAATCTCATGCTTCGGCAGTTGTCTTTATAATGCTTTAAAGTTTTTCAAGTTATATTTCGCTTACTAAATCACACAAAACTTTTGATTGCCCGGCAATAACCATATACATACCGAATACAAACAAGGACAATCAAATGTCATTCTCTCGCCGTTATTCTCAGAAACGATTTGATCACGGACATTTCACGTGATAATGAATTAGTTCTCTGAATTATCAATAGTTAGGTTAATATTTTTTTTTTTTATACAGCTTAGCAATGTGTAGGAAGACTAGCAAAATTAAGTAAATATTTTATCTGGCTTTCTCACACAATCTTTCAAAATTATCGGTCCGAAACATTAAAGCATGCTTTATTGAGTCAAGCTGAATTAATATTATTCCATTTGAGATTGACCTATACGTTATTTTTTAATTTCTTTCTCTCTCATTCTGTCTGTATATATATATATATATATATATATATATATATATATATATATATATATATATATATATATATATATATTGGTACTCGCTGGGCAGGTTTGCCTGGCTCTTTAGGTTTATATTATATATATATATATATTGATAAGATTAGTGGTCAATATATATATATATATGTGTGTGTGTGTGTGTGTGTACATAAATTTCCCAGAGGATAGAATCCAGGTAGAACTCAATGTCCAGAACAGAGTAAGAATATAATATGAAAGGCTCATACACAAGTATTCCATGGTTATATTTTTGTTACATTGTAATCGTAATCACAATCAATTCATCAGACCTACAAATTCAAAAGTTTTTGAATTCGTAGGTCTGATGAATATATATATATATATATATATATATATATATATATATATATATATATATATATATATATATATATATATATATATATATATATATATATATATATATATATATATATATATATTTTTATTGTTGGACTGCTCTGAGGAAGTAAACAAAAAGATGTCTGCTGCTAATTTGAAGAACTAGCCTCTTCGTATCAAATTGAGTTGTCGTTTCCAGTTAACACGTCGCCAGTTTTGTAATAAATATCCGGGTTGGTTATTGAAATATTAACTTGAACGTCAACTTACAAGGTATAAAGGTTTATTTTAAACAATAGCAATACAAAGAGATATTTACAAGTTCGTCTGAAACAGGAGAACAAGTTGCTATTTACCCGACCTCCCCACCAAGTAGAATGTGACACAAGGCCGATTTTTATGTAGGGCGATCCGAGCCCGTAGACTGGGGCAAAAATTGCCCGTAGACCCCGCTGACATGTTTTATACCAAGATTTTCTAAAAAGCAGAAGAACCATTTTTAATATAATTTC